CAAGTACGCGTGGAAGCTGGAGGAGGCCCGGAAGAACCTGCTGCGCACGCACACCACGTCAGCCAGCGCCCGTGCCCTTTACCGCTTGGCCCAGAAGGTGCAGCTCAGCCCAGGCAGTGGGGGAGGCAGGGGGCTATCCTGCTGACCTTCTGACCTCCTCCCGGGCCTGGCCTGCCTGTCACCCCCAGAAGCCTTTCACGCCAGCCAAGTACTTCTCCATTGATCGCGTGTTCCGAAATGAGACCCTAGACGCCACACACCTGGCCGAGTTTCACCAGATTGAGGGCGTGGTGGCTGACCATGGCCTCACCCTAGGCCACCTCATGGGCATCCTGCGGGAATTCTTCACCAAGCTGGGTAGGCAGGCAGGCTGCGGTGGGAGGTGCTAGCGGAGCCGTGGGAGGATGCCATGCCTCCAGGCTTATCCTCCACCTCTGCTCACCCGCCTCCCCTGCCCAGGTATCACCCAGCTGCGCTTCAAGCCGGCCTACAACCCCTACACGGAGCCCAGCATGGAGGTGTTCAGCTACCACCAAGGTCAGGGTGGAACCTGGCACTGGGATGGGGAGGGATGTCTCAGGCTGTCCACAGCTAAACCTGGGTCCCTGTCCCTGCCAAGCCCACTCCCAAGATCACTGCCAGACCTGGTGTCATGCACACAACCTGCCCTATCCTTCTCCCACCCCTATAGGCCTGAAGAAGTGGGTGGAAGTCGGGAATTCTGGGCTTTTCCGCCCTGAGATGCTGCTGCCCATGGGGCTCCCCGAAAACGTGTCAGTCATTGCTTGGGGCCTCTCCCTGGAGCGGTGAGTGCCTAAGCCACTTAGGGTGTCTGGCTGTCACACAGGTGACTTGCTGGGCATGGGGCCCTGCAGACCTTCAGCCCCATCCGTCTGTTCTTCATTCGACAAGCCTTTAGTGAGCGTCTGCTACATGCTCGGTCCTGTGCTAGGAGTAGGACAGCACACATCCCTGCCTCTGCAAAGCTGGGCTCATAGTGTAGTGAGAAAGATGGCAATTAGCGAGATAAATAAGTAAATTGAGCAAATGAAGTTCAGAGTGTGTCTGCAGCCAGCAAATGCAATAGAGAGAACACAGTAGGGAGGGCTAAGGAGACAGGGTCGTCAGGGAAGGCTTCAAGGAGGAGGTAGTATCCGAGCAAAGACTGGAGGCGGGTGATAGGGTAAGCTGGGGGCACATCTGGGGAAGGGTGTTCTAGGCAGCAGGAACAGCCAGTGCAAAGACCCAGAGGCAGGCATGTGTGTGATGTATTTGGAGAACATGGAGGAGGCCAATGTGGCTGGAGAGGGGGAGTAGGTAGAGTGGGAGGAGATGAGGGTAGGGAAGTGACAGGACAGATCACTCAGGACCTTGTGAGCCCCGGGAACAACCTGGGCTTTTAAGGAGGTGGGAACCATCAGAGAGGGCCTGATCAGAGGAGAGCACGACCTGACATAGCGTTAAAACTGTTTTCCTCCCTCCCCCCCGCAAGCCCAACAATGATCAAATACGGCATCAACAACATCCGGGAGCTGGTGGGCCACAAGGTGAACCTGCAGATGGTGTATGACGGTCCTCTGTGCCGCCTGGACGCTGAACTGGGGCCCCCACAGACACAGGGCGCCGCGTGATATGGACCACCCTGGATAGCCTGCCTTCCCTGAGCCCCAGCTGTCCAGCCCTCTGACATCCCTGCCAGTGACCCCCTTGTATTTATAAGGCCTCTGTGAGGCCATCCCCCTCACCCCCACCCCTCGTATCTCCTCTTCCCTACCTGCCCCAAGGTCCCAGGGGCAGGGGAGCAAGTAGCAGGTTCGATCTATGAAGGTGGGCCCTAGGGAGTCCTGCAGGCCAGCTGCTGGCTAATAAAGTGGGCAGTTGTCTTCATATGGTGCCTTCCCTTAGGGATGGAGGAGTGCTAGAGCCCTGGGTGTGAGGAGCGGTGGGTTAGGGGTCCTGGACCCTCAGGAGCTCCTGGCTTGCCTGAACCAGCCCCTTGGGGAAGACTAGCTCTATCAAGCATTTACTGATCACCTGGTGGTGCCAGGCTCTCCTCTAGACGAACAGAAGTCCCCACCCCTGGGGAAGGGGCATATGGGAGGGGAAGACCAAGGCAGGTGCCACAACTCCCCCTGGGAGCCAGGCATGGTGGGGTGACAGCATCGGGGGATGAGGGGGGACAGCTTTAAAAAAACAACTTTTTTTTTTAAGTGTTTCTTTAAAACTGCTCCTTTCCCCCCTCTTTAAAAAAAGAGCAATTTCTGGTTCACAGCAAAATTGAGTGGAAAGTACAGAAATTTTTTTTTTTTTTTTAAAGATTTAATGTATTTGACAGACACAGCGAGAGAGGGAACACAAGCAGGGGGAGTGAGAGAGATGCAGAAAAAAAACAGATCCAGTAGCCCTTGGGAGATTGGTGCCCCCACACCCAGGGCCTAGAGAAGCCCACAGCCTGAACCTGTGGGGACCCTGATGCGGGGCTTGATCCCAGGACCCTGGGATCATGACCTGAGCCAAAGGCAGGTGCTTAACGACTGAGCCACCCAGGCGCCCCTAGAAATTTCTCATATACCCTCTGCCCCCACACATGCACAGCCTCCCCACCACCAGCATCCCCACCAGAGGGGTGCATTTCTTAGAATGAATGAACTACATAGACATATCCTAATTGCCTGCACTTCATGGTTTACGTTGTGGTTCACGCTCTGTGTTGTACGTTCTCTGGGTTTGGACAAACGGATGATGATGTGTGTCCATTGTTCTGGTATCACAGAGTATTTTAAATGCCCTAAAAGTCCTTTGTGCTCCACCCACTCATCCCTCCATCCTCCCCCTAAAAAGCTGCTCTTTTTAAAAAAAAAAAAGGTCTCCTCTGAGAATTTCATGGGAGCTCAGAAGAGGAAGAAGAGTAGGATAGAGCTTCATGAACCCACATTGAACATGAGTGGGATCTCTATTTCTGTGAAAATATATTAAAGCAAACCTTCGTCTCCATGTCTACAGGGTCAGCGCACTTTTGGAAACGTTAACAGTTCTCCTAGAACCATGAGGTCACCATTGTAGCCAGCACAGTCGGCAGTTGAGGCTGTGGGCTTCTCTAGGCCCTGGGTGTTGGGGGCACCAATCTCCCAAGGGCTACTTGGTCGATTTTTTTTTCTGTATTTCAAATTAAATAATTCAGTCATACAGAAAAATACTCGTTCTTCCAACAAATGTGCACCTCCTGAGTGCCAGCAGTGTGCAAGCTGAAGACTCAGCAATGGGCAAAGCTGACTCAGGTCCCTGCCCTTGGGAGCAGACCTGGGGGAAAGGGGGTGCACTGGAGACATAAACAGATAAGTACAGAAATGGAGGGAGGGGTAAAGCCACAGAAGAGGGAAGGTGGGTGGGGAAGGTTAAGTGTATATAGCATAAACTAACCCAACAAGCACTTAGGAATCCATCCCCAGTTGGATCAAATCTGAACACGGACTATGTTTGTTTTGGATCTTCTGCATTTTAGATCTGTGACTAATGGTTTGAAGACCCTATGGGCTTGTCCTAGTTCTTTTTGCCAGCACCTCACTGAGATTGCTCGCTCCTGAATGTGGTGTTTTCTCTTTCTCATGTGTTTTTAAACTTTTGCTACTACATATTTTACTTTAACAAGTTTGATTTTGCTTATTTTCAGAAGTCACACAGACCCTGCACCATAAAAAAAAAAAATCGTCCTGCATATTGTGTGTTGCTTTTCTTTTCAGTGTGTATGTGTGCATGTGTGTGTGCACGTGTGCTTACCAGTGAATCTTGAGATTTTTCTCATAGATAATCTTCAAATCTGTTGCTGCAGGAACGTACATTTTGTTTACATTGTGGCTTTGCCACAAGATACTAATGTTACCTGCTGTTTATTAAACTCTGTGTTCTAGAAGTTTATCTCTGCAACCCTTACAATAATTGATGTTTTAGATTTTATTGCCTCAGTTACAGGCAAAAATGGATTTTGAGAATGAGTGGCAGTGTTATGCCCTGCCCCCAGCCCCTCTCGCTGGTAAGACCAGATTCAAACCACATTCTCCAGAATGTAGTGTCAACACGGGTGCTCTGGTCATTGCGTGACGGGCGACAGAGTCGTGCACAGGATTCCTGCTGCCGCTCCCACATGGACACTGACCAGTGAATTGGAGCAAAACCCCAACCTCTTGCTTTGGCCCCCAGCCCAGCCCCTGCCCAACTTTGATCCTTCACAACCACAGCTACCCCCATTCCCTGTTCTCCCCACCAGGCCTGGCTTCTCCTCAAGCACACTAAGTTTGCTCCCACCTCAGGACTTTTGCAACACGCCTATTCAAATCTTTTGCCCATTTTTAAGTTGGGTTGTCTTATTATTGAGTTGTAAGAGTTCTTTGTAAATGCTGGCTGTTAAGTTCTCAGATATATGTTTAGTAATATTTTCTCCCAGTCTGTGCTTCTCAGGTGACAATTATTATCGTTACTATTAAGGCATTATTGTTATTACTACTATTAGTAAGCGATATGAGCCCAACTCTAAAGGCCAGACCCGCCATGCTTTTAAGGAGCTACCAGTTTTGGAGCGCACAGGTAACTGATTCAAGGTGATACTGCATTAAGTTTTTACTCTGAAGACAACAGGTCATAATCAAGAACAGCGACGGTCAGGATTTTTTATTGCAAGGACTTCTTGGGACTCAGCGCAGATAAACTGAAACCTCAGAATTAACCCAAAGACGGCCCGATTCCAACCCACGCCTGGCCCGGGATCCTCCCACATGGGCACGCACACGCACACAGACCACCCCCTCCTCCGGGCGGCGCCGGCTGCGCGCGCAGCCTCTAGGAGAGCCCAACCGCCGGTTAACGGCCAACTCCTACCCGCTGCGCGAGCAAGTTCTCGAAAAGAGGCGGACCCAGGAGCACGTGATGCAGCACGTGCGCGGGGGCCGTGCGAGCCAGGGGGCGGGGCCAGAGCGTGCGCAGAGTGCTTGAAGGAGAAGGCGGGAAAAGACAGGATGGAGCGACAGGGAGTAAGCGGCGCTTGTTTTCCTTAGCGAGGCGGGTGGCGGGTGGGTGGCGGACGGGCGGGGAACCGCCGCGATCTCGGGCTTCCCCTGGTGGACCCTAACCCAGCCGCTTGTCTCCTGCCATCGGGGCCACCCATCGCCTGGCCGGGTCCCGATTTCCTGACTGACTGACCAGGCCCCGACTGACGGACGGGACTGTGTGACCGACACGCTGACAGCCCGGGCCAGAAGGACAGACTGCCACGCATGGCTCGTGGCAGGAGGAGGGTAGACAAAGGCTCCGATATCCATGCGCCGCACCCTTTTCCTATCTTTTCTCCTACCTCTTCTTCCTCAGGGGACTCGAGCCGCCGCACACACCAGTTAGGAGCCCAGCACCCCTCCCGGCGCCTCTACCCTCACCCCAGCCCCTCCAGGCCTCCCCGCCTCTGTACTCCAGCGCTCCAGGCGCAGGCCCTCCCACCGCACGTCCCCGACCTCGTGGTGCCCGCCGTCCCTAGCCCCGCGCGCCTCTCCTGGGGGTCCCCGGCCTTTCGGAGCGGCACACGGAGGTGCCCGGGGCCAAAGGGGCGGTAGGAGGGGATCTGACCCCTTCTCGCCCTTACCCCTCTGGCCTCTCAAGCGCTGGCTGTGCTCGCTCACAGGTGGACATGCCCCACGTAGAATGCAAGGACCAGGAGCTGCAGCCGCTGGGGGAGAGCAAGGAACGGCAGCAGTGCGAGGAGAGCCGCGAAGACGAAGCTGCTCGGGGGTCAGCTAGGTGAGGAAGCACCCTGCAGGACGGGTCCACACAGACCCCTGGGTCCTTCTCGTTCACCCGGTTCTTCCACGAGACCCTGCCAGTGTCTGCTGTGGGTGCATTTGCTCCACGTACTGGTCAGGCATCTGCCATGTGTGTGGCATGGTTCCAAGTACTAGGGCACAGCAGTGAGCTGACACTTTAGAGGAGGAGACAGACTGTAAACCCGGGAATATATAGTAGTCAGGAGACGTTAATGCAGTGTGGGGGCCGGTGGTGGGGGCCGGGGTGGAATAGGGAGAGAGTGCCAGTTTAGATCAGAGGGTTAGGGAAGCCTTCGTGGAGGAGGTGACGAGTGAACCATGAGGCAGAACTATGCTCTAGACAGAGGAACAGCACCTACAAAGTCTGGGAGGAGGACTGTGCTGGAGGAGCCAAAGAGGGTGATAGTAAGAGATACAGTCAGGCAGGTGATGGGACTCTGGGTGTTAATTACCCATGAGAAGGTTTGGAATAGAGTGACATGGCAAGGACTATTGTTAATAAAGTTTTATGGGAATGTAGCCACGCTTGTCTATGGCTGCTTCCATAGAGTCAAGTTTTTGCAACTGAGACTACAGAACCCACAAAGCTGAAAAGATTTACTATCTGGCCCTTTATAGAAGTTTGGAGTCCTCTGGACTAAGGTATTAAAAGCCTCCCTCTGGCTTCCATGTAGCGAATAGATTGTTGAGGGCAGGAGTTTAGAAGCTGGGAGACTAGTGAGGAGGCAATTGGAATCATCTAGGTGCAAGATGACTCCAATTTGGCCCATGGTGGATCTATTGAGGTGATGAAAAGTCAGATTCTGGATATATTTAAGAAGGTAGAACTGATAGAAATTGCTAATGGATTAGTTGTTGGAGTTGAAAGAGCAGCATCAAGGATGACAAAAAAAGTTTTTGTCTTGTACATTTATTTATTCACCATATATTTCTTGAGGGTCTGCTTTGGCCAGACAATGATGATGAGCATGCAGCAGTGAACAAATCAGAATTTCTGCTCTCTTGGAGCTTTCTTTCTTTCACTTAGCAGTATGCACTTAAGGTTCCTCTGTATCTTTTCATGGCTTGATAGCTCATTTCTTTTTAATGCTGAATAATATTCCATTGTCTGGATGTCCCACAGTTTGTTTGTCCATTCACCTACTGCAGGACATCATGGTTGCTTCCAGGTTTTGGCAATTCTGAATAAAGCTGCTATAAACATTCATGTGCAGGTCTTTGTGCGGACTCAAGTTTTCAGTTCCTTTGGATAAATACCGAGGAGCGCCATGGCTTGATCATATGATAAGAATATATGTAATTTTGTAAGAAACTGCCAAACTGTCTTCCAAAGTGGCTGTGCCTGTCATCAATGAAAGAGAGTTCCTGTTGCTCCACATCCTTGTCAGCACTTGATGTTATCAGTGTTTTGGATTTTCACCATTTTAACAAGTGTGTAGTAGTATCTCATTGTTGTGTTGATTTGCTGTTTCCTGGAGAGATATGAAGTTACACATCTTTTCATATGCCTATTTGTCATCTGTATGTCTTTTCTGGGGAGGTGTCCAGATTTTTTGCCCCTTCTTTAATCAGGTTGTTTCTTTCCTTATTGTTTTTAAGAGTTCTTTGTATATTTTAAATACTTGTACTTTATCAGGCATGTGTTTCACAAAGATTTCCTCCCAGTTTGTGGCATATCTTTTCATTCTGTTGAGAGTGTTTTGCAGAGCAGAAGTTTTTAAATTTTTTTTAAAGATTTTATTTACTTATTTATTTGAGAGAGCAAGAATGAGAGAGAGAGAGAGCACATGAGAGAGGGGAGGGTCAGAGGGAAAAGCAGACTCCCTGCTGAGCAGTGAGCCTGATGCGGGACTCGATCCTGGGACTCCAGGATCATGACCTGAGCCAAAGGCAGTTGCTTAGCCAACTGAGCCACCCAGGCGCCCAGAAGTTTTTAATTTTAATGAAGTCCAACTTACCAATGTTTTCTGTTGATATTATATCTAAGATGGTCCTCTAGATTTTTTTCCTGTGATATCTTCCAGGAGTTTGATAGCTTTGTGTTTGACATTTAGGTCTGTGCTACATTTTGAGTTAGTTTGTGTGAAAGTATGAGGTCTGTGTCTCATTCTTCTGTCCATGGCTGTCCAGCTATTTCAGTACCATTTGTTGAAAAGATTCCTTTCTCCATTGAATTTCTTTGCTCTTTTGTCAAAGAACTGTTGACTATATACGTGTGGGCCTAATTCTGGGCTCTCTATTCTGTTCCATTGATCTGTTATCTATTCCTATACCAGTACCACACCATCTGGATCACTGCAGCTTTATAGTAAGTCTTGAGGTCAAGGAACATCAGTCCTCCAACTTTGTTCTTCTACTTCAATATTGTGTTGGCTATTCTGGGTCTGTTGCCAAGCTGATTTTCTAAAAAAGAGAGATAGACAATAATAATAACAAAATAATGTGATTTCAACTGGTGGCAAGTGCTGTGAAGAAACAAAACAGAGTATGGAGCAACTAGAGTGATAGGGAGTTTAGAGTAGTTAGAGAAGAGCTCTAAGGAGGTTACATGACAAAGGGCAGCCAGGAAGTATCAGGGGACCCAGATATGCCAGGCAGAGTAGAAGTCTCTGAGGTATGAATAAGCTTGGTGTGCTCACAAAACAGTCATAAGATCAGCATATCAGCATTGTGAGTGGATGCAGAGGGATACCCTGAGTCCACGGGACAGATGCACTCATACCCTCCCAGTGCTTCCATCTGACCGAGAGGCAGATACTAAGTACTGACACAGAAGAGATTGGGGTGCTGGGAAAACGTTTCCCCTGGGGGCATCCAGCCCCCAAATGGGGAGCCAGAGACAGCGCCCTTGAAGAAGCAATGCTGAATCAAAAGGTAAGGGAGAATGGATGTTGAGTGGCCATGGGGGTGGGAGGAGGGGCTGAGAAGAGTTTATGGGAAGGCCCTCTGGCTCAGGGAGCTGAAGGCAGGCCAGTGTGGCTGGGTGTGGTTGTGAGTGCAAGAGGAGAACTGGACGGCTTGGCAGAGGCCAGGTCACAGGGCGTTTTGTCAGCTATGGACTTTATTAAGAGGACTTTTTTGGTAATAGCTTGAGATATAATTCACATACTATACAATTCACCAACCTAAAATGTGTAATTCAACTATTTTTAGTACATTCAAAGAGCTGTGCAACCATCACCACAGTCAACTTTATAACATTTCATTGCTCCAAAAAGAAGCCTTGCACCCCTAACCACCATCCCCCGTGTCTGCATGGTGTCTGCCTCTTCCCCAGCCCCTGGTAACCACTACTTTCTGTCTCCATGCATTTGCTTCTGCTGGACATTTCATATAAGCAGAATCATACACTTATGTGGTCCTTTGTGACTGGCTTCTTTCACTGAGCATAATGTCTTCAGGATTTATCCACATTGTAACATGTATCAGAACTCCATTACTCTATATGGCTGAATAATATTCTATATTATGAACGCACCATGTTTTACTTAGCCATTCATTGGTTGATGGACATTTGAGTTGTTTCTGCGTTTTGGTTCTTGTGAGTAATGCTGCTGCGAATATCCTTGTATGAATTTTGGCATAGACATACATTTTCATTTCTCTCGGGTAGATACCTAGGAGGGGAATCACTCTGTCAGAGAAGTGCCATGTTCTGGTTCCTGTTTTTAAAAGACACTGGCTGCTTTGTGGAGAATGGGTGGGAGCGGGCATGAGTGGATGTGGGGAGATCAGGTGGGAGGCTCCTGTGGGGGTAGCATCTAGCAGAGCAGACGGAGAGAAACTCTTACGGGGGTGGGGATCATTTAGTGAGGCATGAGGAAGGGGATGAACCGAGGATCTCTCCCGGCTAGTGTGCTACCAAACAGGGAAAACGCCATTGGGTCAGGCATTGTGACTGGCAGCGGGGATACCCCTGCTGTGTTGTGCTGGAGCGGGCTCCTCCTAGCTCACAAGAGCCAGTTCTACACATCTCTTCCCAATATAGCATTTAGCCATTTTATGTTGGTAGCTTGAAATTGGCTATAGTGGGAGTTTGCACCATGGAAATTGGCAAACACTACAAATTAGGCCTTTTTTCTCCCCCACGGAGAGCCACTTGCTAAATGTTTACTAGCACACCGCTTTATCCCCCCCTTTGGACTGGTTTCCAGCAAGTAATGGTTTCCGTGGCAGAGGCAAGAACACGAGTTCCATTTTGCCCTTATTGAGCTTGAGGTGACTGGGGACACGCACATGAACATGTCCAGCATGTAAGTTGGACTTGCTGACCTGGAACTCAGGGTGGGACAAGGGGCTGGAGATGGCACCGTGGGAGCCACCGTTTCAGTGGCAGCTGTGGGGTGAATGAGCTCACCTGGGGAAGGAGTGAGACAAGGCCAGGCTCAGGACAGGGCCCTGAGGACTCAAGGTATAAAGCCAGCTTCCCCCGACCTCCAGATTCCTCAGTTGTAGAGCAGACTACAAGGTGGAATGGTTTCTAGGTGTGTGCTATCAATTGGAGACCAGAAAAAGGAAGGAAATAACTGCAGTCATTTGTTTGATATCATCTTCCTGCAAATAGGGTGTTTAGACCTGGATATAAGTGGCAAAGAGACATAGACAATTGCATATCAAAGACTTCAAGGAGTTCCACTAGAGCTTTGGGCCGAAAAAACAGATGGCTTAGAACCAGTGCAAGGGCCAATTAATAGATCCAGCAGCAGATACTCCGCGACATGATTAAAATATGAACACATTTCGGGAAAGAAAAGCAGAGGGTGAGGAATGGGCTCAGTAGCTTTGATTCAAACCTTCCCCTTCCCCCTTCCTGGCTGTACTTCAGCAAAACCTCATTTCGCCCAAGCACCAGAGATTCTGTTGTGTTCCTCCTTGAATGTTTGATTAGCTTGTCTCCCCTCCTGGGACTGCCGCCTGCGGTGGTCATAAGTGGCTGGCGGCTTGTTTACTTGTCTATCTGTTAGAGGCCACGGAGGGAGGGCCCCATCAGCGGGCGGCTCTGGCTCATACGCCTGCCAATCACAGCTTTACCTGGAGTGAACAGATGGTCTCTTCACTTAGACCCATTTCCTCACCGTACCCGGGCCCCCTGCCAGCATGGGCCCTGCTCGGAAACTATGTCCTAATCCTCGCAGCCGAATTAGGGACTCCTTAGACGGATAGACTATAATAGATGAGCATGGTGAAGTGTTCACAGCCCCCACCCCAAAGCCCCCCCTGCCGGACCCCTCCGTGGGGCCATGCACACCCAGCCTGCTTTGTTGGGCCTACTTCCATTAGCTGGCCCCCATCCAGGGTCGGGCAACAGAAGCAGGCCTGGGAATGGAGGAAACCAGTGAAGAGGACATCGTGCATTTTGTTTATTAAAGTTAATTGGTGAATGCAGGCCCAGGGAAGCCTATGATTCATTAGCATCCTGATGAATATGCAGCTGCTGAGTATTAAGAGAAATGAAATGGAAAGAAAGAAATCCCCAAAGGAGAGGTTGGAAAAAATCAAGAAGCTCTCTGCAGACATCTGATGCAGGCTCTTGTACCACAACAAAATTTGAATGAGATGAATTCAAGTGATTTTTCACCATTTTCATAGCTGCCATGAAAACCATTCCATCCTCATCCCTGGAGCCTGAGGAAGGAGCGACTTTGAACTGTTAGCAGCACAAGCAGGTTGTTAGCAATTGCATAAAAAAGAAGCACCTGTTTTTATCATTGATTTTAAATTCCAATCCTTGCACAGTTGGGACAAAGCAACTGTGGGTACAAGGAGGTTTGTGAGTGGAAATGTTATACATGCCTCTGGAAGATGTTCATTCCTTTACATATTCAGTGAATATTTGTGCGCCTTTGGGAGGCATAGAATGCCGTCCCCACCCTGAGCGTGCAGTGTCCTGGAAGGAACCAATGTGTGTAAACCGTGGCAGTGTTGTGATTAGTAAGTGGAGGTGCTGTGGGGGTACACTAGCAGAAGCTCCAAATGGTGAAGTTGCAGGAAGGGAAAGTCATTTCAGGCAATGGCTGATGAGTTTGGTGATGTGAAATGTTCCAAATTGCTCAGAGTGGAGGGTGGGAAGGGAAGGTGGCAGCCAGGGCCCTGGAAGGCCTTGTGTGCTGTGCGAGGGAATTTACTCGATCCTGTGGCAGGTGGGGGCTCTCAGGCTGTCAAGCAGGAGTAGGGCATCAGATTGCAGTTTCCAAGGTCCCTAGAGACCAGGTGAGAAATGATAGGTGTGGAGTTGCAAATGATTAGGTAGAGAGGAGATGATAGGTTTGGGAGAGATTAAGGGGGTGGAAGGGAGGATTTTCTGACAGGATGTGGAGGACAGAGAGAAGCTGGACTCCAGGCTGACTGTTAAGTTTCTGGCATGGGAACCAGGTGGCTTTTGGTGTCATTCATAGAAGGGGAAGGAGTATGGCGATGTCGGTATGCCCATTTGGAGTTTGAGATGCCTCTGGGACAGCCAAGTGGAGAGGGCCTGGAGGCAGTCGGATACATTGTTGGGAGCTCAGGAGACAGGTGTGGGCAGAGGATGAACTTGGGGGGTGTGGAAGGTGGATGGTATTGAAAGTCCTTGCTAGTCATTCATTCATTTATTCCATGCCCCTTTATTACTCCTCTCATGAGGCGTAGGTATTATGGACATGAAGATGAGTGACACATGGCCCAGTCCTCCCAGAGACTACATGGGGAGGCTGAGGTGCAGGCCCTTACACTGTAGGTGCTGTGTGCATGTCACTCAGCCAGGGAAGACTTTCTAGAAGAGGCAGGATATAGGCAGGAAAAAGGACTGGCTACAAGGGTGCCTTAGGGGAATGACAGGTTATACATTGTGAGGTGGTGGGTGGGGGTTTGCAGGAAAGGCCAGTAGGGAAGAGGTTTGGGGGTCCTGGCTTCAGAGCAAGGGTGTGAGCGATGGGGTGAACAATGGTGTGAAGAGAAGAGAGCGAGGCCAGCAACAGAGCCGACCTGTTGGGAATGGCAGGGAAGGGTGGTCAGTAGCACCAGCTGCAGCCAGTAGATCAAGGGAATTGCGGTCTGCCAGGTGCAACTGGGGACCTTGGCAGGAGACGCTTCATTTGAGAGCTGGGGTAGGAACCGGTGGGCGGAGGGTGAGAGGTGAGAAAATGTGCTCAGAAAGCGCCAGCCGCTCTTTCTGGAAGAGCTACATGGCTGTGAAGGGGAGGAAAGAGGGAGGAGGCTGGCTGAGGGATACCTGGTGTTTGAGGGGAGGGGTGTCTATATGTGTGCTGTTTTAAAACGTAAAACTGGGGATGACACGTCCCGGAATGGGTCAGCCCAAGGGAGAGGCCAAAGGTACAAGAAGAAGGTGAGGTACAGAGGGGAATGGGATTGGGAGCCCCACAGAGGCATGGGGCCCTTTTCCCGCCTGCCAAATAGGGAGTTTGGAAAGAGGAAGGGTGGTTGTGGATCCATTTGTTGGGGGGGCAGCGGAGGAAGTTATTGGCTTGCACTATTTCCGTGTCTCCTCAGGGTGAGGGGAGGCAAGTGTGCGGTCAGGGACAGAATTATGAAGGTTTGGAATGGCTGGTAAGAATGAGAGAAGGAGGTGACCAGAGCACAAACAGGATGCCCAGTGACCTTGAGGACCCCCCAGAGGCTAGAGAGCTAGACCCTGCAGTGACCCTGTTCACAGGATCATTATTTCCTCCAGTGTCGTTCAAGTTCCTAAGTTTGAGAAAAGATATAACGCTTGGTTATGGAGAGCCAGGGTGGAGTTTTGGTGTGGGTGTGACACAGGGGTGAAGGGAAGGGGGCTGAGGCCCCCAGCTGAAGACTGTAGTGATAGACCCACTGGTTTAGGCTGGACAGGAGGGCAGTCAGTGCTGAGGTCTCAAGGAAGTCAAACACCAGGTTTTCTTGAACCCATGTCCACAATTCCATTATTGTCATGCAAAGCATGGCTGTCTTTTCAAGAGCCATCCACTTTGTGTTTTTTCACATGCATCCAAATGTTACAGAAGTCTGAATGTTAAACTGTCAGTGTGTGGAGTGAGGGGGCCTGGCTGGCTCAGTCAGTAGAGCATATATGGATTCTTGGTCTCGAGGTTGTGAGTTCGAGCCCCAAGTCAGGTGTAGAGATTACTTAAAAATAAAATCATAAAAAAAAGCAAGAAAAAAAATAAAATATGTGTCCCAGGTCTGAATTAATCTCCTTCTGCCTCACTTCCCTGTAGGAAAGCAGTAATCGCAAGCCAGGAGGCCATAAACTCCTTAGTGAACCTTTGTCCTGAATGCTCAGGAAGGCTTTAGTTTGTCTATTGTTTTCTAGCTGACGTAAGTCTTTGCTATAGATTATCTGCCTCAGAGACACACTTTCCCGTCTTGATAAATGCATTGACCACACACACACGTATCTTGCCTTGGAGGCTGATGAACTTGCATGCTTTGTATGAGGCCAGAGGAGGGCGGAATAGATCAGATGGAAGGCGTCCTTCATTCATTCAACAAACAATGGAAGATTTACTATGTGGTGAGTGCTGGGAATTCAGAGATAAACAGGACACAGCCTTCTGGGGAGATAGGGATAGAAGCTGTGACAAGCACATGCAGTGATAGAGACAGGCACAGGGTCCTGGACAGCTTCTCAAGGGAGGCATTGGTGTGGGCTTGGTCTCACAGGTCAAGTCAGAGAGCAAGCACAAAGCCACAGAGGCAGGAAGCGATCTGGCAAGGAGTACTCAAGGACCAGGACACAGCTGAAGTCTTGGACCTGAGAACTTTCATGCAGGCGAGAACTCTGGCCACCCAGGCTCTTGTGCTCAGGGGTTTTACTGTGCTTGTATCCTGAGCCAAAAGGAAGAGCTTAGGCAGTCAGGAAACCACCAAGAAAAATAGTTTTATGGAGAAAGCATCCAAAAATCAAGATGTAATTTCCTAAGTAATCAGTGCCTGGCTTGTGGTCTTGGCCAACTTTATGGTTGCTTGTGAACTGGTGTATACAGGAACTGTTCTGTTGGCACCTCTGAGTCGCAGCCATTAAGAGCTGGAAAGACCTCAGAGGGCAAAGAAACTGAGGACCCAGGGCAGCAGAACATGGGCTGGGGAGTCAGGCCAGCTGGGTGCCACACCCAGCTCTATCACACATTGGCCAGTGACCCTGGGAGAGTGACACACCAACTCTGCGTTCTCAGCTACGAGGTAGGTAAAGATGATTGAGTGGACCAACCCCAAAGCATGGTCAAGAGGATGCAGCAAGACAAGGTGTGCAGCTTAGCACCATGCCTGACAGACAGAAAGTGCTTACAGATCAAATAAAGCAGAGATACAGAACAAAAAAAAAAGAAAGAAAGAAAGGAGGGAGGAAGGAAGATGTACCTTAAACATTTTATCTTAATTTAAAACACCAAGGGGTCTGATAATAAGAGTGCAACTTTTTTTTGCATAAGTTTCATTCACATTGCATTACCCACAATTTCCACTTCTTTGTTTTTAAATATTTTATTTAAAGTAGGCTCTACACCTAACGTAATCTTTGCCCCAATCTATAGTTGTTGATATAAACAGTATAACTGACACTCATTTCAAAGCAACAAGTTGGTGTAATAACATGATAGTGGGCTTTGGAGTCCAGCAGATACCTCTGTTCTGGAAGTTTAGGTGGATTTTGTTTGTACCTCTGGGTCTGTTTCCTCAGTTATAAAATGGAGATGCTGTCCCTGCCTTCTCAAGGCAGTGTGTGAATGAAATAAGCAAGCGTCGCCTACAGGAGACACACCACACTGGTTCCCCTCCCACCATAGAGCTAATTCAGATCAGCACTCTTGGGAGAGAGAGTTTGCTGTTGACCTCAGTTTCCTGTACTTTCAGAAGTCAGGTTTCTAGCCCCTCTATCGCCACCTCCAGTGCCAACCGCCAGCTGATGATGCTAGAAGGGAAGTCAGGATCCTACTTTTCCTCTCTGGAGTCAAGCATCGACATCCTGAAGAAGAGGGCCCAGGAGCTGATTGAAAACATCAACGAGAGCAGACAGAAGGACCACGCACTCATGACCAACTTCAGGGACAGCCTCAAGATCAAGGTGACAGATTCTCCCACACACTGCAAAGCCTCAGGGGTCAGGGGAAAGGAGTCCTATGTAAAGGGTGAAAAGGGGAGGGAATGAGCTGCTGCTGAGTGTCTTTGAGGCTCTAGGCCTGTTGCTCAGCAAGCTGCAAATAGTACCTCATTTCCCCCTTACAACAGTCCTGCCAAGAGGTCAGACCCATTTTATAGATGGTAAAGTAAGGTTTGGAAATAATTTGCTCAAATGAAGGAGCCAGGATGAGGAACAAGGGCCATCTGCACCCGCAGCCCACCCCTCTTATTTCATGCCAGGGCTGATGGCCATGGGAGTAGGGGCTGAGGCATAGCCTGCATTGTCACACCCATTTGTCCTCCAGAAGTTGGTTTGTGGGGCACCCGGCTGACTCATTCGGTAGAGCATGCAACTCTTGATCTCAGGATTGTGAGTTTGAGCCTCACGTGGGGTGTAGTAATTACTTAAAAACAAAAATCTTTCCAAAAAAAAAAAAAGAAAGTGGAATGGTTCGTGATGGGAGGGTAGGGTTTCCTTGACATGGCTGGGCCTTAAAGTGTCTACTAACAAAGCCAGATATTATGTTCAGGTCCAACATTAATGATTGTCCTGGATGTTTCTTCAGAATGCATAATGAATCCTATGAGTGGGACAGCTTGTTGGTCACATATGGGACACATATTATGCATCTTTCAATGACAGGCTAACTTTTTTCCCTTCTCCCTCCTCCCCTCCCTACCAGTACACACCCTGGTACATCAGAGAAAACTTAGAAAGTAGAGGAGAGTATACATAGAAAAAATAGAAAACATTTCTATGATCTCACTACCCAGAGGCTACTTTGTCACATGTTTTCTTCCGGTTTCCACTGCATATTTTCTTCCTAACCTGTCTGAGCCTGTACTATATACATAATTTTGCATCTTCCTTTAAAAAAAAAAAATCAGGGGCGCCTGGGTGGCTCAGTCGTTCAGCGTCTGCCTTCGGCTCAGGTCATGATCCTAGGGTCCTGGGATCGAGCCCCACATCGGGCTCCCTGCTCAGCGGGAAGCCTGCTTCTCCCTCTCCCACTCCCCTGCTTGTGTTCCTGCTCTCACTGTCTCTGTCTCTATCAAATGAATAAATAAAATCTTTAAAAAAAAAAAAAAATCAAGTGGTGCCTGGGTGGCTCAGCCGTTAGGGTCCTGGGGTCCTGCAATCAAGCCCCACATCGGGCTCCCTGCTCTGCGGGAAGCCTGCTTCTCCGTCTCCCACTCCCTCTGCTTGTGTTCCCTCTCTTGCTGTCTCTCTCTCTGTCAAATAAATAAATAAAATTAATATATAGGCAATTTCACTTCCAGTCACTGGAATTGTTTTTACCATTTTTTTTTTTAAGGACTTTATTTATTCATTTGAGACACAGAGATAGAGAGAGAAGAGAAAGCATGAGCAGGGAGAGAGGCAGAGGGAGAGGGAGAAGCAGGCTCCCTGCTGAGCCAGGAGCCTGACGTGGGGCTCAATCCCAGGACCCTGGGATCATGACCTGAGCCGAAGGCAGACGCTTAACCATCTGAGCCACCCAGGCGCCCCTTTACCATTTTTATAAAATAAATTGCAGGGATGCCTGGGTGGCTCAGTCGTTAAGCGTCTGCCTTCGGCTCAGGTCATGAACCCAGGGTCCTGGGATCGAGCCCCACATCGGGCTCCCTGCTCGGCGGGAAGCCTGCTTCTCCCTCTCTCACTCCCCCTGCTTGTGTTCCCTCTCTCGCTGTGTCTCTGTCTGTCAAATAAATAAATAAAATCTTTAAAAATAAACTGCAGAAATCTTAGCAAGCCACTTAAAACAAATGTCGTGTGATGCCTCTTGTTTGATTTTCTAAAAGCACGCTTTATTTTTTAAAAGGTTTCAGACCTGACAGAAAAGCTAGAGGAGAGGATGTATCAGATTTATAATCACCATAACAAGATCATTCAGGACAAGCTCCAAGAGTTCACCCAGAAAATGACAAAGATCAGCAATTTGGAAACAGAGCTCAAACAAGTGTGCCACACCGTGGAGACTGTGTACAAAGACCTGTGCATCCAGCCTGAGGTATGACTAAACGCATGCATGTGGGTGCCACCTGAGAAGGCTAAGACGAAAGTAAATGTCAACACAAACCAAGGACGTTAGCACCGCGCCCAGCCCTAAACCCCACAGGAGCCACTATCACTGCAAAACCCTTGATGCTCTTGCCACCTCACCTGTGGCCCCTGGCTCCCTCTGAGGCAGTGTGTCTGAGCTGAGAAGCTAGACAGTTGTTATTTCCCACCACTGTGTGGTCAGCTCTGTGGTGACAGAAAGGACAGTGTCTACAGCCCTAAGCCCTGGTCAGTGCCTATCCAGGGTTATTACAGCAGAGCCAAAGACTCTGACACAAGCCACACCACTTAAGGGGGAAATCCCTACCACATATCCAGTCACCTCACAGTCACCACATTTTTCCTGTGACTGAAATGACTTTGTGGGTGGTTACAATTAAAAGTGGCCCACACCTTGGGGTCAGATATGCAGACTTTATTATTCTCTCTTTCACTCTCATTCTGCTCCAACATCCAGCATAAGGCACTTACCCTCAAGATGGGAGGGTCAGAGGGCACCAAGTGAACTCTTGGTGTGTGGGGGATTTGCTCAGTCAGACACCAGAGGTTGCTTCCATGTCACTCTCCTTCCCTCTTCCTGCTCCCCTGTCAAGAGAAGCTTCTGTTCCAAGATAAGTGGAATCCATCCCCGTCCACGGTTAAAAGTGGGTTGAGAAACTTGGTACAGAGAGTCCCATCTTTTTAAGGAACACATTTGAATGACTTCAAAGGGAAAATTTTGATAATTAAGAATCAGTGTCTCTCACTTCCCACTATAAAAATTGGCTCCATCTGCCACCTCCCTGAGTAAGCTCAGAGCACAGCGTTTCCCTGGGAAGGAGCTGGAGACCATCTGGGCTCCCGGGTGAAGTATGTTCACTTGCTGGCCGTGAACGCCTGGATCCCTGTGATTGCCCTTCCAAGGATCAGAGCATGAATGTCATGAGTACCTGGACGAGAGAAATGCAGAGTTGGTTTGGAGTCTGAACAGCTCGCAACCTCCCTTTAAAGTCAATCTTCATGTCCCTCCTCCCCCTAGGCTACTACTTTGGAAGAAGAACAGGCCCACAAAGATGGCGAATGCTGAGAGCTACCGGGAGAGAGTCCCTCTTGGTGACAGCCACCAAGAGAAAGCTAAGAGGCCACCATTTGGGCCATGCCGAGAAAATTGTTTTTCACAGTTCTGTAATGCATCTTGGCAAAAAAAAAAAAAAAAAAACCCTAGAATCCTTGTGCTAGACCCAAAACTTCAAGTCCAGCCCTGGCAATGGGCCCAGCTTTGGTGCTCCCCACACTTGGCAGATTCACCCCACCCGACCCTGCACAGTTGGTTAAACGTTTGATTTTCAACCCGTTCACGCTTCTTTCCCACAGAGGCTGAGAAAGCTGATGAGCTCTGTGGAAATATGTCAGGCCCTTACCTACAGAAGGGATGGGAAAGCAAACATCAGATAAATTGCTTGTCCCAGCTGATCTCCCCCATCCTAAAGCCGCCACCCCACATCCCACACTCTCAAGTCTGGGGAACATTTTACACGCCTCAGTGCTCTCCTTTGCTCTTCCTCAGTTTAACGGGGTGGACGAGATTACTACCTCCCTTTTATGGAGCAAAATAATTATGTTTACTTCCCAAAGTGCAAATCTGACCCCATCCCTCCCCTGCATAAAACTCCCTGAAGGCCCCCCCTTCTGCTTGTCCTCAGGGTCATTCCCACACCAGTAGAATCCCCCCAACCCCAGCCCTCCCTCTTGCTGTTTCTGGAATGTCCCATCCAGAATAGCACACAGAAGCTATTTCACTGTCTCTGCCCAGGTTGCTACACTTCCTTTCAGGCCTAACATGGTCCCACTTTCTCCCCAAGATGAGCACTTGTACCCCTTTACATCTCTCCCTATTTCTGCCTGGCTCACACGAGATTGTACCTTTTTTTTTTTAATTGTCTTTTTCCATGTTTGTTTTCCCATGAGGAAAGGGGTTTTGGGCCCCATGCAAGTTACAACCAGTCGCCAGGTGCAGACACCACAGCCTGACAATGATTTATCTTTTTTCTCTTAACATAAAATGGAGTCGTGATTCCTGTGTGTAGCTGCACTTTTGCTCCCTGGCACCCACCAGCTCACTAGGCATTGTGCCCCACTCTGGGGATGCCCGAGGAGATAGTAAAGCAATCTGGGGAGCACCCCTCCTCCCAGTCACCATGGGGGAAAGGGCTGAGAGCATTTCACTTCCCCGGTCCCTGTGTGAGCCACTCCAGATGAAGAACACGGGTGGGACTTGCCCCAGGTCACACTGCTAGTGATGACAGCTGGGAGCAGGACTCAGGCGTGCTGTCCCCTCCCTTCTTCTCTAGACAATGAGGCCACTGTGACACTCCTCCCCCCAGAGACCCAGCCCCTACCTTCATAGGTGTTCACAGCCTCCAGGTTCATGGCATGCCGGATCACGTGATACTCATCAGAAATCCCATTCCCCCCTAGTATGTCTCGGGCCTGGCGGGCGATATCCAGGGCCTTCCCACAGTTATTCCTCTTCAGCAGGGAGACCATTTCCGGAGTGGCCCTGGGAGTAGCAGAGAAACGTCGCACAAGTATGGGATCACAACTGACCCGAGGCATCCCTAAGCCCTGGGCAAACCCAGCCAGGGGAGAAAATTCCCCAAGTTATAGTCACAGCAGCAGACACTGAGCTCCCAGTAAGGGATAGGCAGGCAGTCCTGTCCCATCAAGGCCAAGAGGGAAAGGGACGGGTCCCCAGGGGCCACCAGGCATGAAAGACCTTTCTCCCCAGGACCAGCCACCACCACGTCCAGGAGGGGCACAGGGTCCCCTCCTTGCTGCCTACCCCCTGCTCCCCCAACACACAGCCCCTACTTGTCTTGATCCTTCAAGCGGCCAAGCTGCAGGCAAGCATGAAGGCCCAGCGTGATCTCAGTGAGCATGTCTGCCAGCTTCTTCTGAATCAGCTGGTTCCTGGCCAGTGGGGCGCCAAACTGGATCCTAAGTGGGCAAGTTCAGGGTAAGTGTGGACATGTTCACCCCCCCAGTCCAGGAAGCCTTCCCAGGCTGCCTCAGTCCTCACTGAGTTCACCCTGGCCCTGTCACTGCTCAGTATCACCAATGTCACCGAGCAGTCAGCCCCTCACTGCTCAAGGACTTCCCAGGCCATTTCACTGAGTGGGGAACTTAAGTCTGGTAGGCAGGGGAGGAGGTAGGGTAAGGGATGGAGCCCGTGCCCCCCCACACCTCCCAAGAGATCTCATGGCAGTCCCACACACCTATCCAGGGTGTACTGCCGGGCCGTGTGCAAACAGAATTCAGCAGCTCCGAGCACGCCCCAGGCAATGCCAAACCGGGCATTGTTCAGGCAGCCGAAGGGCCCCTGTAGGGTCAAGAAAGAGGCCTCAGCTCCACCCAGGAGCTGAGAAGCCCTGGGCAGAACTAACTTACGTAGGGGGAAGCCCCCTCCCCAGACGTGCAGTCACTATAATAAACAGAGGGATTCAGGGCAGCCATTTCAATCACACAAGGTCCTGGCACCAAAGCTCATGCACACACAATTCTACCCAGCCCGGGATCTGGGTTGGATGCTCAGATCTAGGGAATGATGTGAGGAGACAGAAAGATGCACGTGTATCAAAGGATTAAACTGGTTCAGGCCTGTATGTGTCCTCGGCAGAGCCAGTATAAGGAAAATAGTCACTCCAAAGGGGCAATTTCCAAACATCAGTGAGCCAGGCAGAAGCTCTCAGAATCACTTGTGTGTGGCCTCCGCAAGCACAGGGACTGTGTCTGGTCCACAGCTGGGTCCCCAGCATGGGGCCTGCCCAAGGAAGTTGAACCAGCAAGTGACCTTGATACCAGTTCCCAAGGTGGCCGCTGCTCACCGCCAGACCAGATATATCAGGCAGCACATTCTCCTCCGGCACCTCCACATTGTCCATGACGATCATGCCTGTGGATGAGGCCCGCAGGGAGAACTTGCCCTCAATCTTGGGGGCTGAGAGGCCCCGCATCCCCTTCTCCAGTAGGAAGCCCCGAATGCAGTTGTCTTCACACCGAGCCCATACGACAAACAGGTCAGCCACAGGTGAATTGGTGATCCTGGGGGGAGGGACAGGCAGTGAGAGTCTGGCCGCCTCCCTCCTGCCCCTGCCCACCTGCCTGAGACACCCAGACCCCTCACCAGGTCTTGGTCCCATTGAGGGTGTAGCTCCTGTTGGATGGGTTGTGGCGGGCTCTGGTCTCCATGCTGCCAGGGTCACTCCCATGGTTGGGCTCTGTGAGCCCAAAGCAGCCCAGGAGCTCCCCCTTGGCTGCAGGGACAAGACAGGGTCACAGGTCTGCCTGTCCCCCACTCATCTCCTCAAATGGAAATTGTCAGCCTCCCCGTCAAGCCAGGCCAAAGGCAGACCCAACTCTGTCCCCATGGCACTCTCAGGTGGTGGTGGTGTGTGGGGACACCCCTCCCCCCGGCCACAGTAACAATGCCATGATGGGGAGGGGCCCCACAGGAGTCAGGAAAGAGATAATCTGTCTTGAAGGCAGTGAAAAGGAGTTAAGCAGGAGGAGGAAGGGTGGAGAAGAGTGGTTCCAGTGAGGGTACAGATGTGCAAAGGCACAGTGGTACATTTGGAGAACGCCGAGTAGCTGAGTCTGGCTGAGGAGGAGCAGTCAAGAGAATGGCCAGAGGAGATGAGGTGGAATGGTCAGAGGCCTGCCTACTCATGAGGGGCCTTGTGGACCCAGTCAAGAAATTAAGACTTTAAACTTTGGGCTGGGATGGGGGAACACAGCAAATCAGGAGGGAGATGATAGTGGTAAGAAGCGGGCACAGTCAAGAGAGACCTGGGAGGGGTCAGTCAGGATCAGATGTAGGGGTGAGGCCCATGGTCTGGCAGGGGATTTGGGTGGCCATTGGGGCTATCCTTGAGGTAGGGACAGAAGGCAGGCTCTGGGGACAGTCCCATTCCTAAGTTCTAGACCACTGAGGCGGTCTTCCTTCCACCAGGCTCTACAGGCAACCGCTCACCCAGCCGGGGCAGGTACTTCTGCTGCTGCTCCTTGCTGCCATAGGCGTAGATGGGGTGCATGACAAGGGAAGACTGGACACTCATTGCTGACCTGTAGCCACTATCCACCCGCTCCAGCTCTCGGGCTAGGAGCCCATAGGCCACAGATGAGACTCCAGCACAGCCATACCCTGGTCGAGGGGGGAGGTGGAGGGAAGATAGGGCAATGGGAGAAAAGTCCTGCCCAGCTGGGACCAGTTGATTACTGGGCCCCAAGAGACAGAGCTATATAGGGGTGCCCAAGGAGGGGGCACGAAGCTGGCCCTAGTTTGAAGGTTTATTCATTTTTCCTCACAGCTACTTTCAGATGGAGGGATAACTAACAGCCTCAGTTTGCAGACTGGGAAACTCAGGCTCAGGGATAAGAAGGGGCTTTCCAGGACACAGTGGGGACTGCAGAGTGTGGAGATAAATCTGTCCCTACCTTTGACGGTGGGGCCCAGCACACCAAGCTCCCCCATTTCTGAGATGATCTCCCGGTGAAAAACTGGAAAAGACAGATGCCCAAACTCAGGCCCAGCCCTAGCCCACTGGAGCCCCCATCCCAGGGACAGAGGGGGCCCAGGACCCAGCTAAAGCAGGGAGAGCTGCTGTGCACTGTGGAGGGTGCCCACCCGCCCGCCGAAGCACCTTCGTTGCGATTGGCCAGCAGGATTCGGGGCATGAGGCGCTCCTGGCAATAGGTGCGGAAGGTGTCCCTGATGAGGATCTCATCCGCTGTCAGCTGCCCCTCCAGCACCAGCGGGTCTCTCCAGTCAAATTCAGGACGCGAGGCTGGGACAGAGAGCAGAGAGTGGGAGGGGGCTTGACTCGGCCCAGCCCACCCGACCACAGCACCCTCCTCTCCTGGAATCCTCAGCCCCACTCCGCCACTCCCAACTGGCTCCTGGTGGATGTGGGCAGTAAAAAGCAC